TTCTTCATCCTCATCCTCATCCTCGAAGAAGAAGAAGAAGATGAGATGATGAGATGAAGAAGAAGAAGTAGGATGAAAATAAGAAGAATTCCAAGCCGGCAAAAAGTGTATCTGCAGAGCTCCTCTAAGTGTATCTGCAGAATAGAGGAGCTCTGCAGATACACTAAGTGTATCTGCAGAATAGAGGAGCTCTGCAGATACACTTTTTGCCGGCTTGGAATTCTTCTTATTTTCATCCTACTTCTTCTTCTTCTTCTTCTCATCTCCTCATCCTCATTCTTCTTCTGAGGATGAGGATGAAGAAGAAGAAGAAGAAGAAGTAGGATGAAAATAAGAAGAATTCCAAGCCGGCAAAAAGTGTATCTGCAGAGCTCCTCTAAGTGTATCTGCAGAATAGAGGAGCTCTGCAGATACACTTTTAGCCGGCTTGGAATTCTTCTTATTTTCATCCAGAAGAAGAAGTAGGATGAAAATAAGAAGAATTCCAAGCCGGCAAAAAGTGTATCTGCAGAGCTCCTCTAAGTGTATCTGCAGAATAGAGGAGCTCTGCAGATACACTTTTTGCCGGCTTGGAATTCTTCTTATTTTCATCCTACTTCTTCTTCTTCTTCTTCTTCTTCATCCTCATCCTCATCCTCTTCTTCTTCTTCTTCTGAGGATGAGGATGAAGAAGAAGAAAGAAGTAGGATGAAAATAAGAAGAATTCCAAGCCGGCAAAAAGTGTATCTGCAGAGCTCCGCTAAGTGTATCTGCAGAGCTCCGCTAAGTGTATCTGCAGAGCTCAGCGGTTGAAACATTGTATCTATTTGTTTCCATTTATGGAAACAAATAGATACAATGTTTCAACCGCTGTATGGAGTGAATGTCAGAGAACTGTCAGAAATAGGCTATTTCTGACAGTTCTCTGACATTCAATACTCCATACAGCGGTTTGAGGAGTGAATGTCAGACTGTCAGAAATAGCCTATTTCTGACAGTTCTCTGACATTCACTCCATACAGCGGTTGAAACATTGTATCTATTTGTTTCCATTTATGGAAACAAATAGATACAATGTTTCAACCGCTGTATGGAGTGAATGTCAGCGAACTGTCAGAAATAGCGGAGCTCTGCAGATACACTTAGCGGAGCTCTGCAGATACACTTTTTGCCGGCTTGGAATTCTTCTTATTTTCATCCTACTTCTTCTGGATGAAGAAGAAGAAGAAGTAGGATGAAAATAAGAAGAATTCCAAGCCGGCAAAAAGTGTATCTGCAGAGCTCCGCTAAGTGTATCTGCAGAGCTCCGCTAAAGTTATCTGGTACAGTGTTCTGCACTAATTTAAAGGCTCTCTGAAGCCTAGAAACCCTTTTTAATAAGTTAAATTCGTAGCGAATAAATTCGCATCGAATCGAATTTCTTCCTCAAATTCGGCGAATCAGCCAAATCGAATTTTTGAATAATTCGCTCATCTCTAATTGTCACTCTTAGGCTAGATTCACACTAGTGCAGCTGCAATTTGTTCTGATTTCCAATGCAGTGATTTATTGCTTTGAGGCATTTTGTGGCATTTATGATACTACTGTGTTTTTTTTTGTAAAGGAAGGAGACTGGATGCTGTTTTTTAAGGAGCCAGCAACTGCTGACATCCTAAAAACCAATAATTCCCACAATCCATACCAGGTCTTTCAGATCTGGTGTGCATTTTAAGGAGGGCCCCAGCCCAAAAACAAAATGGCATGGGGTCCCCCCAAAAATCCATACTAGACCCTTATTCGAGCAGTCTGGCAGGCTAGGATGGAAAGGTGTGGAGGAGGGAGGAGCATGCATCAACCCCTTTCCTGAACCACACCAGGTCACATGGGAGGGGTACATTTCCATATCTTTTCAATTATATTATAAGGGGTGGAGTCACCCAGTGACATCATTGACTATATATGGACATGTGTAAGAGATGCAGAAATGTCATGCCAAGCAAAGGGATCGGTCAAGTTTCGGCGGGCAGTGTTTTTTTTATTTGCGCAGATCGGCAATCATTGTTCATCATGATTGACATGGACCACGTTTGCTGGATATCGTGATTGGTGATAGATGTATATCGGGGGACTTTTTTTTAAATTAAGGTCAAAAACTGGTTCAGTGTTTTTATTTACCACTGACTTTTTTTGGTTAACCATTATAGGCCTGGCCTATAGCCGTTTGGTGGCCGCAAAAATGTTCTAGCTTTCCGGCTGTACGCCATTTGGCGTCCTCCCACACATGCGCAGTTCGCGCGGTTGCAGAGCCACGCAGCGGCGCAATCTGTCACCGGCCGTGTACCTCGGACACGGCCGATGACAGATCTGAGTACCGGCCCCCGTTGCCGGTACCATGTGACCTGCTGTGACCAATCACAGCAGGTCACATGACAGTTGTATACAATGGATGGCTTCATTCATGCCATCCATTGTATACTAGTGCCTAGCTGTGAATGGTCACAGCAGGTCACATGCACATGTCATGTGATTAGCTGTGGCCAAATCACAGCTAAGCACAAAAAAAAAAAAAAAACCTGAATGAATCAATTTCATTCAGGTAAATGCTTGCTTATAGCAAAGTAATTCTTTGCTATAAGCAAATTGTGTAAAAAAAAAAAAAATACTGATCACTTCCCCAAAGTAGTACAATGTTACTATGGTAACATTGTACTACTTTGGTCATAGTAAAATATGAAAAAAAAATCTTTAAAAAAATAAAAAAAAGTAATAAAAAATGTTAAATAATAATAATAAAAAAAAAAAATATATATATTTTTTTTCATACTGTCGCCAGTCAGTGTCCCTGTTCACCGCCATGCCAGTTATATGATGACGCTGTACTGCACTGGTGACAGTATGTAAAAAAAAAATTGTGAAAATAATTTTTTTAATTTTTTCATTTTCCAAAAAATTATGACAAAAAAAATACAACTTCAAAAAACTTGCCATTCCTCTTATGAAGTACGTCAGACTGTCTACTCTGCAAAAAGGGGTCATTTGGGGGATATCTGTACTAATCTGACATTCTTGGACCTCAAGAAATTAGATTGGCTGTCAGTACTTCAGGATTGATCAATTTTCAGATCTATACCATAGTTTGTGAACTCTATAACTTTCCTACAAACTAAAAAATACATCCTAATTTGGTTATTTTCACCAAAGACATGTAGCAGAATACATCTCGGCCTAAATTTATGAAGAACAATTATTTATTTGTAAACGTTTATAACAGAAACAAAGAAAAACGTGTTTTTTTTTTTCAAAATTTTTGGTCTTTTTCAGTTAATTTAGCAAAAAATAAAAACCCCAGCGGTGATTAAATACCACCAAAAGAAAGCTCTAGTTGTGTGAAGAAAATGATAAAATTTTAGTTTGGGTACAATGTTGTATGACTGCGCAATTGTCATTCAAATTTGTGAGAGCGCTGCTGAAACATGAAAAATGGCCTGGGCAGGAAGGTGTAAAATTGCCCGGTATTGAAATGGTTAATGAGTAATGGTACATAGCACCTCTTACTCATTCACATGGGGAGCCAGGATCTGGGGGCCCCCTTTTTGTTAAAGGGGCTTCCAGATTCTGATAAGCTCCTCAGCCGAAGACCTGCACAAGACAGGGTTGTGGGGAAGAGGCCCTTGTCCTTGAACATGAGGGGTCCCTTCTGGCAAAGTACCCCCACATGTTGAGGGCATGTGCCTGGTATGGTCATGGGGGGGGGGGGGGTCATCCCTCCCTTTCCTGGTCTGCCAGGCTGCATGCACAGATAAGCATAGAGACCCCTTTCACCATTTTTTGGGAGGGGTTTTTTTTTGTGGGGTTCCTCTTAAAATCCATACTAGATCCAGCTGGGGAGTGTCTACTCTGGTTAGCCTGTGTGGCAATAGGTTTGCCCAAGTAGCTCTAACCAAGCTGTATGCTGATTGGGGCATTTGCAAGTCAGCTCCCGGGTATATAAACAACATCCTGGGACTCTAAAAATTGCTGGTGTAGCCATGGCGATATACCACCTCCTCTGATTTGGTAGGTTTTTAGATACATATTTATAGACATTATAGACATTCTCAAATCTCTCTCCAATAGTAGGCCTATATGCCGCATCCTGAAAATTAATATTTATATCTGTTTTAGGTTTATAACATCAGAAGTCCTTTCTCCTCAGTGAGAGTTTGAAGTTAATAGACCACTTTCCACATCAAGTAGGATTCACCATAGTTTATATATCTCCAGTAAGTGTTCCCTCTTTCCCATTATTGCAATATCGGCTTTTGCCTTTGTATACTTTGACAATTTATTTGTATTTTATTGTTTATTTATTTAGCTTCATCTAAGCTAAACATTAGGGACTAGGTATCTCCTTTGGTCACCCTCTGGGGCCGTGGAGGGGCCTCTCTTGGAGGCGAATGGGGTGGCAGTTGTTCCTCCTTTCCTTTCCTCTTTCCTCATTTTCTTCTCTGCATCTTTGGATGGACTTTGGAGACATTGGTTGTATCTACATTACTAACATTACTAACAATCTCTATCAACTGGCAGTTGTTTCATGTTCCCTACCCTGGAGTAGGGGCTATGTAAGTGAATAACTATGTTTTCTGAGAGTGTAATTGGTTCTTTTTGGATATATCTGAGACTTGATAATAATGATACATTTATTATAGGTGTCATGCCTTTTAAGCACTCCTGAAGAAATGCGTCAAGTGCAAACGTATGCATTATTCATTATCATCTTTGTAAAAATCATGCTTCATGTCAATGTATGCAAGATGTATTGTTATTCATGTATTTATTGTTACAATTTTGGTTTATGTCACTACCATACCTGGCAATTACATGTGTTGTAATGTTGTACAAAAAAAATATGGTTCATTATAAATACTTTTTATGTTGTATAATATTATTGGTTTTGAATGTGCCCTTTAAAATTCCACCAAAAAGGGGGGTTTTTCGTCTCATATACCATATATTTCGCTCCATAAGATGCACCTGACCATAAGATGCACCTAGATTTTAGAGAGGAGGAAAACAAGAAAATAAATATTCTGAACCAATGGAGTGCAGACATAGTACAGGAGATGACCAGAGACTGCGGACATAGTACAGGAGATGACCAGAGACTGCGGACGTAGCACAGGAGATGACCAGAGACTGCGGATGTAGCACAGGATGTGATTAGATGACCAGAGACTGTGGATATAGTACAGGAGATGACCAGAGACTGCGGACACAGTACAGGGTGGATATGACCAGAGACTGCGGACACAGTACAGGGGATGACCAGAGACTGCGGACACAGTACATGGGATGACCAGAGACTGCGGACACAGTACAGGAGGTGACCAGAGACTGCGGACACAGTACAGGAGATGACCAGAGACTGCGGACACAGTACAGGAGATGACCATAGACGGACACAGCGGACACAGTACAGGAGATGACCAGAGATTGCGAACACAGTACAGGAGATGACCAGAGACTGCTGCTATAGTACAGGAGATGACCAGAGACTGCGGATATAGTACAGGAGATGACCAGAGACTGCGGACACAGTACAGGAGATGACCAGAAACTGCGGATATAGTACAGGAGATGACCAGAAACTGCAGACACAGTACAGGGGATGACCAGAGACTGCGGACACAGTACAGGGGATGACCAGAGACTGCGGACACAGTACAGGAGGTGACCAGAGACTGCGAACACACAGTACAGGAGATGACCAGAGACTGCAGACATAGTACAGGAGATGACCAGAGACTGCGGATACAGTACAGGAGATGATAACCAGAGACTGCGGATATAGTACAGGAGATGACCATAGACACAGCGGGGATATAGTACAGGAGATGACCAGAGACTGTGGACACAGTATAGGAACACATGACCAGAGACTGCGGACATAGTACAGGAAATGACCAGAGACTGCGGACAGTACAGGAGATGTCCAGAGACTGCGGATATAGTACAGGAGATGACCAGAGACTGCTGCAGACATAGTGTGGACACAGTATAGAAATGACCAGAGACTGCGGATATAGTACAGGGGAAATGACCAGAGACTGCGGACACACAGGTACAGAGACTGCGGATATAGTACCAGAGACTGAGACGGCAGACATAGTACAGGAAATGACCAGAGACTGCGGACATAGTACAGGGGAAATGACCAGAGACTGCGGCGGACATAGTACAGGAAATGACCAGAGACTGCGGACATACAGTACAGGAAATGACCAGAGACTGCGGACATAGTACAGGAAATGACCAGAGACTGCGGACATAGTACAGGAAATGACCAGAGACTGCGGACATAGTACAGGAGATGACCAGAAACTGCGGATACTGGATCCAAAGGGCCTGGTATTGATTGTGGGGGAACCCCCATGCCTTTTTTTTTTCTTTTTTTTAACTGACAGTCTCACGGTTGAGACAACAGAGATGAGTTACTGGTTGTTAGGACTCCAGTGGGTGCAGACTCCTTAACAATCTGCACAAATGCATCAAAATGCATGTAGATGCATTTTAACTGTATTTTTGGTGCATTTCTATTGGAATCTGTGAGGCCAAGATCAAGCGGCACCCACACCAAGTAGCACCAAACCCTTTTGCAAAAATGCGTTGTGCTGTGCTTCATTGATGTGAATAAAGAATAAGGCCCATTGCCGAGTGAGTCTGTGCGACTCAAGTGCAGGGGCGGACTGACCATTTGGAAACTCAGGCAGTGCCCGAGGGCCTGGGGTTAGTAGGGGCCCCCATGAGATGCCCCTGGTACCTTTTTCATAGGCTTTTTTGAGTTTGGGCAAGGACACAGGGGCCCCATGATCCCCTACTGCCCGGGGGCCCCATGAGTTGTCAGTCCGCCCCTGCTCAAGTGGCATCCCAAATTGCATTGCACTAGTGTGAACTAGATGGGGAAGCATTGTGGGATCCAATGAAAGCTGTCCATAAAAACTTTGCAGGCACTGAATCCACCATTATTTCCAACAGAGTTCAGTAAAGTAAAAGCTTGTCTGAACACCTGTGTATATTGTATAATTTGGCTCAATCCCTCTTTCAGTCGCTGCATCTAGGGAGCGATTCCCGGGCATGAGAAACACATGCTGGCACCCTAAACATAATGGGCTTTAAATGCATTGGAAATCAGCGGCTAACCAGGTGGTAGCTCTGACCTTCGGTGTGATTGGGCTATTGGCGGTAGATCTAATATAACAATATTCATTATTTTCCCCTTCTAATGTAAATATTATAATATATATAATATATAACTATAACTAGCACCCTGAAAATGGTGAGACACATCTGTATTTATAGTAAAACAAATCCTCTGTGGAGATTCTATGGGCACGGTAATATTAACTTTCTGAATGCATGCATATTAACTAATGAATAGAAAATGTCAGTGACAGATTCGAGACAGCCAAGTTAGGCTGATGGGAACCAGTGGAGGGTCTAGCATTCAAACTAAAACTTGTCTTGTCTCACAGCATAAAGAGGTCAGAACCCTTGAACAGTATCATTTACCCGCCCCCTGTCTGAGCCCAGGGCTAGCTGAGGCAGCACACTTCTGCTCAATAGCACGCATCATAAATAGAACATTATCTGCAGGGCCAGTAGCACATGGTCCCAGCCTGGTCCCTCACCCCTCCTTCATTTACCCACCTACCTCTCAGTACTGAATGTAGGCAGAACAAGCTCCACGGTGGCTTTGTGCCATGAGGATCGTCTATTAACCCGTTCCCTGCCATTACATCTGCTTTAAAAATCATGATTTGTACATAGGTTTTTCTATCAAGAAATATTCAGTGTTTATTTTCTCAACTTGAATGGCGCTGATCTCTTCTACCCTGCTGCCTAAAACTATGTGATAAATATACAGCATGCATATACCTATGCAGCATCATTTCAATATGAGCGTTCTGCAAGTTTTACTGCTACACTACATAAAAATAAATGACAGTTAAATGTATTGCAGGATACAGTAAAGGAAACATGCTAGGGTGTGGTGCTGTACAAACAAAAAATGTGAATGGCAATGTTTGTAAAGAATAGGTAATTAACATTCCCTGTTCTGAAGACTGGAATTAAAAAAAAGGTGAAAAGTGATAGGTTTGCTTTAGGTTATAGCACTTAGCACATTATCATTGCGCTTTGCACTGCCTACTGAATATGTCTGAAGGTTTTAGATATACTGACTCCTGTGCCAAAGCCACAATGAATTGCCAGTAGTTAGAAGTGTCATTTTTTTAATAACACAAATTATTATTATTATACAGGATTTATATAGCGCCAACAGTTTGCTCAGCGCTTTACAATATAAAGGGAGGCAATACAGCAACTATACAGTTCAATACAAGAGGGTTAGGAGGACCCTGCTCCTTGGAGCTTACAATCTAGGAGTATTATTATACAGGATTTATATAGCGCCAACAGTTTGCTCAGCACTTTACAATACAAAAGGGAGACAATACAGCAACTATACAGTTCAATACAAGAGGGATAGGAGGGCCCTGCTCCTTGGAGCTTACAATCTAAGAGTATTATTATACAGGATTTATATAGCGCCAACAGTTTGCTCAGCGCTTTACAATATAACGGGAGGCAATACAGCAACGATACAGTTCAATACAAGAGGGTTAGGAGGGCTCTGCTCCTTGGAGCTTACAATCTAAGAGTATTATTATACAGGATTTATATAGCGCCAACAGTTTGCTCAGCACTTTACAATACAAAAGGGAGACAATACAGCAACAATACAGTTCAATACAAGAGGGATAGGAGGGCCCTGCTCCTTGGAGCTTACAATCTAAGAGTATTATTATACAGGATTTATATAGCGCCAACAGTTTGCTCAGCACTTTACAATATAAAGGGAGACAATACAGCAACAATACAGTTCAATACAAGAGGGTTAGGAGGGCCCTGCTCCTTGGAGCTTACAATCTAGGAGTATTATTATATAGGATTTATATAGCGCCAACAGTTTGCTCAGCACTTTACAATACAAAAGGGAGACAATACAGCAACTATACAGTTCAATACAAGAGGGATAGGAGGGCCCTGCTCCTTGGAGCTTACAATCTAAGAGTATTATTATACAGGATTTATATAGCGCCAACAGTTTGCTCAGCACTTTACAATATAACGGGAGGCAATACAGCAACGATACAGTTCAATACAAGAGGGTTAGGAGGGCTCTGCTCCTTGGAGCTTACAATCTAAGAGTATTATTATACAGGATTTATATAGCGCCAACAGTTTGCTCAGAGCTTTACAATATAAAGGGAGACAATACAGCAACAATACAGTTCAATACAAGAGGGTTAGGAGGGCCCTGCTCCTTGGAGCTTACAATCTAAGAGTATTATTATACAGGATTTATATAGTGCCAACAGTTTGCTCAGAGCTTTACAATATAAAGGGAGACAATACAGCAACAATACAGTTCAATACAAGAGGGTTAGGAGGGCCCTGCTCCTTGGAGCTTACAATCTAGGAGAAATGAAATACGTGTTGTTGCATATATAGCATACAAACTGTATAAAGGCAGTTTTTACCTTTCTAAGCATTAATATTCTTACTCACATTTCTGTTTTCTTATGGTCTATAAATTTACACCTCTATGTAGCATGCATTCTGTCATTCCATGTCTCCCTTCCTCCCCTCTCCCATTCTCTATGGTAAACACACACACACTCAATCCATGGGAGACAATCCTGCTGCTGCCACAGCCGTGTGCATGCCTTTGTCTTTCCAACCCCCCTCTCACGTCCCCAGAGTCTCTTCCCGCTTTGCTATAATGGGAGGCTATTCACAGAGATAAATGGTCAGGCTGCAGTGGGGCCTCACCTGAGGGGATCCCCCCCTTTAACTAATAGCCTTTTAATTTTCTGCCAGAAGGGCACAGACAGAGGAGGCAGAAATCAATCACACACATCCATCTTCATCATTCGTGTCTAGGGAGTTTTTGGAGCGGAGTACCCTCTTGGGTCTGAGTCAAGAAGAGAGAGGGTAGAAAAGACCAATGAGCAGGATACCCGTAATGTGGTAACACAGAGGGGCAATAAATCTGTAGGTATAGCCTATTTCTGCCTCTTAGAAGGATTTGACACTAGTAATGCTAGATAATTTTGCATTCAGAATCAAGAATGTTGAGAACAGCACCTTTAGGAGTGGATAAGAGATATTGCTAAAGTGTAGCACCATAATATGCAGCGATAACATCCAATGTTTCGTGGAAGCAGACACTGTTTTATGAATTTATGTATATAGGTTTCTGTTTCTGCAACTTGAACAGTATCAGAGATTCACAGTAGTCTTTAGGCCTAAAGAATAAAGTTGCCAAAGGTCCCCTGTAAAAAATGATGAAAGATACGATAGATAGATAGATAGATAGATAGATAGATAGATAGATAGATAGATAGAAAGTTAAATAGATAGATAGATAGATAGATAGATAGATAGATAGATAGACAGATAGATAGATAATAGATTAGAAACGAGCAGCATAAATATAGCATCATGCCTCTAGTTTCTTACCTGCCCTAGAAGTGAACAGTTCCCAGTATTTCATGAGAGGACACAGAGGGATTCTGGTGCCCGATTAACCTACATCTAGTGTAATTGATTGATAGATATATACTTGGAATAGATAGATGATAGATAGATAGATAGATAGATAGATAGATAGATAGATAGATAGATAGATAGATAGATAGATAGATAGATAGATTGATAGATACAGTAGATAGAGAGATAC